TCTTCAAATAACAAGTGGTTCCTCTTTTATATTCGTACCCTTTTTGTATATCTAATAAAAGATGCCCTACGTATGTATATATATACATATATACATATACATATATACATACATACATACATATATACATATACATATAAACATATACATATATATACACACACACATATATATATATATATATATATATATATATATATATATATATATATATATATATATATATATATATATATATATATATATATGGATTGTGTGTGAATGTTACATTGGGAGGAACCTCCGTTTATGAGAACAGAACTCAATCCTATTTGAATTAAAACTTTCATTCCTATTGTTTAGACATGAGAAAGACGTCACACGAGCATTTGTACAGATCAACTCTCAAGAGAGCATCTATATCACGGTTAAGGCCTAAGGCAAGACGCAGAAGCAAACAAAATCGATAAAATGCACAAACAAGGGGCGATAATCTCTCTCGGGGAAGAAAAAACATGCAAGAAAAATGCCTCGTTTTGCTGAAAGATAACAAGGAACGGGACATCGCCTTCGAAGAAGACGATCCGAAGCGAAGAGCTTGAGTGGAATCAACCGGGTGGGAGCGAAGGAAGCGTACCGGTTGAGACAGGAACCTTAGAAGAGCCTTTGAGGTGTGACAAGGAGTCGGCACTGCGTCGTTTCACTCGCCCTTTACTTGCAGACAAAGAACGAAGTGGAGAGAAGAAGGGGGGAAGAAACGGCCTCTCGCCCTTCGCGGCGTTCGACTTGTTAGGCTTCTACTTCATCATGGCCGTCCATCGAGGAGCGCACCCTTGCACCAACGGTTTGATTCTGGTCAACTGGGTTCCTTTGCGCTCTCTCTCTCTCTCTCTCTTTGACTTTGACTTTGATTTTGACTTGACCCATTTGGTGTTGGGAAGGAAGCGCAAGCATGCCAAATATTGGATCCAAAGTATTGAATAAGCATAAAAATTAAAGTTTCAAAAAGACAAGTTTGAATTTAGAGTTTATTGAAAAGTACCATAAATCTTCTCATATTTACGTACAAAAAATATATTTTTTTTATAACATGTTAAGCCAATTTTTGGTTCATCCAATTTGAGTTGGGTGTTAAGAGTCAACCAAAGTTCTTCTTGCACGTATTTCAATATATACAAAACTTATCTAATTATGATAGTGTCGAACCTTACAAAATTATGTCAAGACGTTCTATACATTGTTCCTTTGATATCTAATTCAGTATAGATATGAGAGATTCGACTTATATCTTTGTGCTGTATTAACATAGTGTCTACATAACGTACTTGTAGAGTCGTTTTATAGTAAGCTTCTAATACCCTTATTTTCATGATTAACATCGATTATGGGAACGGTGATGTATCTCTCTCAGACTAAATTACTTTCACGGTGCATTGAATCTAGAATATGTTAATGCTTAATCGACTCGATCAAGAATTGAAGTGTCGAGTACGTAATATTAAGATGTTGGTTGAGTAGTATTGAGGTGTCAACCACAAGGCTATGAGCCGTTGACCTTATGATGATGAAGTATTTGATCAAATAGTACTAAGTGTTGAGGTATCGAATATGTGGTGTTAAGTTATCAGTTACATAATACTGAGGTGTCAATCATGTTCTTATCCCTATATTAACAAAAATTAACACAAAAAAATCATTCGTTGGAAAAAAAAAGAGTCGGCACGAAAAATTATTTAAAGCAAAATTTGACACATAAAAAAAATCATTAGTTAGAAATTTTAACACACACACAAAAAAAACATTATTGGTTTGAAAAGAAAAAAAAAGAGTCGAGATGAAAAATTATTTAAAGCAAAATTTGACACATAAAAAAATCATTAGTTTGAAAATATAAAAAGCAAGGACTATAAAAAGTATACAAATTTAAATCGACCCCAAAAAAATATTAATACACTAAAAACACATTATCAGTTTTAAAAGAACAAAAAAGAGCATAAGAAGTGGCACTAAATAAATATTAAACAAAAATCAATAGATAGGCTTCAAAAATAACAAAGCACGCCCGGTGGGACTCGAACCCACAATCGCCTGATTAGAAGTCAGACGCCTTATCCATTAGGCCACGGGCGCCACTTGGTATCTTCATATCTATGCCACCTAATGTAATAATAGGAGGCCTCTTAATAATATTTTTTTAAGTGACCAATATATTTAAACTTAAGATTCATAATATAAAATTTGAGAACATATTCATTCAATTCTCATTCGCATACACTAAAATATGTATAGTCTATAATCATTCAATACATTATTTGGTAACTCCATAAAATCCCAACATCAACTATAAAAAATATTAATAATCACTTATAAACTCACAAGATCAATAAGATACTATAATAATGAATTAATCATTTATATCAATATGAGAAGTCTTTTAATATTTAGAATAATACACATCAATCCTTTAACTTATTCAATGAGAACAGATAACATTTAAGTCATAAATTTCTTCAACAACTTTCATTGATTATAGTCAAGTTGATCATAAAATCAGACTTTATCCCATTAAAAATAAATTATGCAATTATAGTCTTTTATGAATATTATCCATTTTCTTTACCTCATATTAACTCTACTAACTCAAGTGTAATTTTATAAAGAGGCTTAAATATTAATATTGTCACATGAAACAAATCAATGACAACCTCAGTTTTTTTCTTTCAAGAGGTAATATGAGTAAACATCCAAAAACAATTTATCAAGAAAATTTCTGGCTCTAAAGATTTTGTTTAAATTTTCAAGCTCTAAAAATCTATCATGAAATAAATCCGAGCACTCCTCTCTCTCTCTATACATATATATATATATATTTCAAGATAACACGTGTAACGCAGACAATTATCCTGCGTCAAACAATTAAGTCCTATGGGTAAGTTCCTGAAAGAGTAAGTCAAGGAAGAAGCATAATGGCACTGAAGTTACAGAGTGGTGGAAGAAAGGCCATGGATGGTGCATGGAATCCCATCATTCCCTTGCACAGCTCTGCTTTGTCCCATTTATTGATCTAAATCTTCTCTCTTCTCACTACCTACCACTCGTCTTCAAGCTGCTGAACATCACCATGAACAAGCAAAAGTTGTCACTAAGAGAGAGAGAGAGAGAGAGAGAGAGAGAGAGAGCGCATAGCACAGCACTTGAATTCAGAGGGCCCTCCTCCTTCCACCCTCTGTTCTTGGTCCCCAGCTTGGAGCTAAAGATTGTGCTGCCCCTCCCCCACTCCACCCACCCCAACATGAGGATGCAGCACCAAGAGGAGTTGAAAAGGCAGCCACCGATCTCACAACAGTAGGCAGTCCAGGAAGAGGAGAGCAATGAATGGAACTCATGAGGCTTGTGTTCCGAATTCCATGACCTCCTCCTCCTTTCTGCCACTAAACAACGCAACATGGCAGATTCCTCATCATCCTTTCTCCCCCCACAGCAGACATCCATCATTGTCCTCCAGCCATCCCTTTCAGGGCAGCAGGCCACCCCATTACCATCTCCTTAATTCCACCTCCCACAGCTCGCCTCCATCCACCACCGCCACCACCATGAGACCTTCTTCCGACGCCGTCCGCAGCTTCTTCTCCTTTCTCTCCTCCGGCCTCGATGAGCTCGACCGCTGCCTCGCGTCGAACGCCTTCATGTCTCTCCATGTCCTGCAGCGAGCCGTCGCCCTCCTCCGATCCCTTAACTCCCAGCTCGTCAGCCTGGTGCAGAAGCTCCGCCTGCCCCCCGGCGAGAGATGGCTCGATGAGTACATGGACGAAAGTTCCCTCCTTTGGGATGTCTGCCATGTGATCAAGCTCGGCATCTCAGGCATGGAGAGTTACAACTCCCATGGAGCTCACGTGGTCTCTTCCCTGGAAGAGTGGCGCCGGAATCCCAATCCCCACCTCACCCTACAGGTCCTAATTGGTTTTCTGGCCTTCGCTCTTTCTTTTCTCCTCCTTCGCTCAAAGTCCCAACTTTTACGTGATTTCCTTTGTTAAGGTGACGAGGGCGATCTCCGTTTGCCGGAGAGAAGCTGTGCGACTGGAAGAGGAGAACAGGGTGCTGGTGGAGACAAAAACCAATCCAGCTTCGCTCCGGTTCGACGACGAGAGAGTGCTCACGGATTCCAGACTCAACGGATTCAATGGCTTCAGAGGAGTGCTTTACGCGCTGAGGAACGCGAGCTCGCTCCTCTTGCAGATCCTGCTGTGGGGATCAGTCTACTGCAGTCCCGAGCAGGGCGTCTTCCACGGCCCAGCGTGCTCCAGCTCAGCGTACGCGGTCTCAGTGGCACGGCTGCGACAGAGGCTGCACGGCGAGGTGGAGGGACTCGGCGGCCGACCAGGAATCCTCATGCACGAGTTCCGGGCGGCGAGGGCGTCGGCCGAAGAACTGCGAGAAGAGATGGAGAAGGGTGAGACTGAGGGACGCGAGCCGGAAGGCACTGCAGGGAGAGGGAGTGGTCTCAGGGAGAAGGTGGAGCGATTGAAGGGATGGCTGGCGACGCTGAGGTCCGGGACTGAGAACCTTGTGGCGCAACTGGATGACCTGTTTGATGAGATTGTGGAGGGCAGGAAGAAGCTACTGGACATCTGCAGCCACCATTAAAGCTCAAAAGCAGGCAGAAGTAGAACCAGAGAGAGGAAAGAAGACGACTTTGGCTGATAGTCTTCTTCTAGCTATTGATTCATGAAAGAGAATTACTAGTCCTCCATGGAAACCGAACAAGATCAAGTATATTGGAATTTGTAGACATCTTATCTTACTTTTGCTTTGCAATTTAGTTTCTTTGCCACTATTGTAGATTCCATGGGAGGAAGAGGAAGACGAAGAGGAAGGGAAAGGTGGGGCTGGAGACTGGATGTGCTCACGGTTAGAGAGAGAAGCGAGTAGACAGGAAGACACGAGGACTGTACCGGTGGAATCGCGTTGTCTGATGATGAGGTTGATGCGCCAACAGATTGCAGTTGCCATGGGAAAGCCGTCTGCAGCGGCAGGCAAAATCTACTGTTTCTGCATTACTCGAGTGTTGCTGCCAAGTATTACCTACAGCAGCAGTAATTTGCAGATACAGTAAATTATATATTTACATTGGGTTTGAATCCAAGAATTCAACTAAATTATCGAGTTCGAATTGAGACATGATAGAAATATTAGGTTATTTATGTATGAGCACATGTCTTCCTCACCATCATTGTTATGGATGGAGACCCAAGCTTTTGTAAAGTTGCAGCAGTAGCGGCTTGGCCACTGGGGCATTCCCACAAACACATGTCGCGCTGCCTCCGTCACCCTCTTGTTTGCTTGTCTTTTCCACTCGGACGTCCGCCATGCATACCTTTACCACTTCTTACCGCGGTGAGAGCAGTGGAATTCTCGGAACCCGGTTTGAATTGTAATCATGACTACCTGGAGATGTAGAAGGCGCACACGAGCGTCACAACTGGAGTAGAGAGGCTAAAGAGTCTGCAATCAGAGAAGCAGACCGAACCAGAGGGACAGAAGGCTAATCCAAGAAGAATGTTAGTAGCAGTATAGTTTACGTAACACCAGCAGTATTGACAAAGCAAGACGATCGAAGAATTTTATTAGGCACAAAAAGGAAGCAATGCACGAGAGCTCTACGAGACCAGGAACAACAGCACATCAGCCATCATCGTGTATCCGGTGACGTTGATCTCAACTCAACTGTGCTCTGTCCTAATCAAAAGGGCCATGACCATCAGATTCTTTGAAAGCTGTGGGATGATGGTAGGGACAGTGATCAAATGAACAAACACATGGCGTGCAATTATTCTTTTGGTTATATGGTAGAACATGTCACGCACGCCGAAACCTTATCTTTGGACCGGGCAGCGGTTCGACGGTCCGGACCGGGGAACGCGGACGGCCGAGTCGGCGACCGCGCATGTCGCCTTGCACGAGGCGTAGAGGCCGAAGAGCCCGAGACGGTCGGAGACGGACCACGCCGCCGCTGGCCCTCTCCGGCGCCGCTCGACGACCGAACCACCGCCCCTCGCGAGGAGCTCCTCGATGGCGGGGCCTGCCGGGTCCTTGGCGCACTCGGTGAGCGCCGTCGCGAAGGGGTCAGCGGCGGAGGTGGCGACGGGTCGCTTCTTGCGCGAGTTGCCGGCGGGGGCGGATCTGAGAGAGGGAGGGAGGGGGAGGAGGGGCCCTGTCGGGCGGGAGGTGAGGGGGCCGGAGGTCTTGGGGATGCCCGGCCGGTGCTCCCACGAGAAGGGGACTGCGGAGGAGGAGGGGCGGGACGGCGATGCCCGCTCGTCAATGGGAATGGGTCTGCTCTGCCGTGGCAGCGGCCGACCGTACCGCGGAGATCCGGCGTCTAGGTCCTTGCTGGTGGTGGACGGTGACCGCATCTCCGCTAAAGCCTCAGAGAGAGAGGGAGAGTACCTGCGGAGGAAAAGGGCCGTGGTTTTATAGCGACGAGAGCGCGAGGTGGAGAGGGTAAATTGTTGCGGTGTTCCTCCAAGTGTGTTGAACTTATCGTGGTCCGTGCATGGCGGTCGTCCGATTTCACTAATCCTGCACGAATCATGAAGCGACCGCTCCCGACCGACACCATGTAACGTAGTCAAACATATTAAACGACTTCAAATAAAACCTAGCTTAAGACCATATATATTTATATAAATATATATATACATGGCCTCAAGGATTATAATGGCTACACATAGCCTATGAAGAAACAATATTATTATTTATATATATAAAAGCTTTACATTATGTATATATAATATAAATAATATTATTTATTTCAGCTACTGAAAGCCGCCGGGACCATTAACCTATTATTTATCATCCTGGTCAACTCTTTGTTGCAGGTGTGTATGTATATGTATCTCTTCTTGATGTAGAAATTGGTAAGATATATGATTGTAATGTAGGATGGGAGAAATAATAGTTGGTGAATGGAGGTGTTCATCAAGCAACATGTCCAAAGGTCATTGAAAAGGGAGTGATATTGTGATGACAAGCTTTATCTGAAAGTGACTCTCTCACTGTTCTGAACATGTGTATTGGAAGAACAGTCACACTCTTTGCATCTCATGACCAATGTGTTCAGACAAAGTTCTCTGCTTACAGGAAATCAAAGGACAATTGTAGATTAATTACTTTGACCGAGGTTGGTCCAATTTCATGTATGTACCATATTTGCATCTATGTTTGACTAATGGATATGATTTCAGACATGAATATTAGATCTGAATATAAAATGAGTACAGGTGAGAATATTACATGAATCAGACTTCAGACTGACAAATAAATAAACAACACATTATGGCAATTATATCGATATCTCATACATGAAAAAGCTAATCAAGTGGCATTTTACTTTATACTAACACAAGTAAAGAAATAAGACTAAAAGGATGGGTTTCAACACAGCATTCTATTCAAAAGCTAGAGCAGTAGAAACACCTTCATGATAACAAGTCTAAACTTGCTGTTTCAGTATGAATCTTGATAGAAACAAAAACACACACATTTGCAGTGTAAAATATTCAGAGCAGACACAATAAACAACCACCATTAAGTTCCAAGACAGTCCTTGTTAAGGATATCTCATGCAAGAAAAGACAATGAAGTTAAAGGCTACCATGAAAACAACAGTCAACACTTTGAACTTGTTGGAGACAATTTTACCTTGATGAAGCCAAGTCACATATGCAGTAGCCATGCAGGTGAATCCAGACGTCAAGCTCTTCCCACCAAAGCCCGTCTCAGTTGCTGTGGAGTTTCCTTGTCAAGAAGTTGGTTCACTGAATGTTCAGAGAAGAAAAAGAAGAAGTTGATGTCATGAATTAGGACTAGAAACCCAGGGGCCAACAATTATTGTGGAATCAATGGAACAACTAATAAAGCTCATCCCTGTGTTTGTGTGGCCTATAAATTTCATTCAAGTCTATATTAAAAAGGAGCAATTATTAATGGAATCTATAATTCAACTAATAAAGTACATACCTGTATCTGTGTGGCATATATATCTAATTCAAGCCTCCTTTGTAATTTGCAACTTGGGTGATTCCTGTCGGAATCATAAAAGCAGTGGTTTCACATATTAACAGGAGCCTTGTGCAAGCAGGTCAGTGTTGAAACAAAGGGATATCACCTGTACCTGTCTCTTTCATTTACTGTCAAAATGAACATGCATGTTTTTTATTCAACTAGTAAAAGAAGAATTACTGTTCTTAAAAAAAAAAGAGAAACACTAATTCTGAAATTATAAAGATATGAGATTGTCCCTGAAATTTTCTGGGAGCAATTTTTACAAGTTACAAGTTCATATCTAGGTCTTACTTTCCTTGCCAATGTCGATTTAGGAAGAAAGCTGGGTGAGAGCTCCAGTCCATCAAGTCAAACAGGAGTCCCTGCCATGTGGTTCTTCTTTGTAAGGCTGGGGACTAGAAAATCTATTGAGAATCACTTCCAACCCAGGTTGACAAGATCACAGGCTTATATGCTGCAGCAATTTATTTCCATAGAATCTTTCAATATATGAGGATCATTCGCAGTTTAAGTAAATTGTTTCATTGCAAGAAATGTAAAGGACAACCTTTACAGCTCAATTTATATAATGCTCTTGGCATGGATAGATTTAGTGCTCTCTTTTCCAGGTCCCAGGGATAGGAATGCATGTAAGACTAATTTGTATTCAACGAAATATAGTTCCATAAGAGCTGAAGATACATTTCATACATTAAACCGAAGGGAAATATAGTTGTCCCAATAAATTGTGTACCTACTGCTCACAATAATAGAGGACAATTTATAAATCATGAGGGGGAAAGATTCAATATTGGACAACATGAACTTTGAAGACTACAATTTAACTAGCCTGTCCTCATTCATGAAGTTAGTGCATTAAGGCCACAAATTTTGCCAGAGCAGTAATACCATTAGATTTTCCAACTAAAAATATGGCTTTCAAACCAAGGAAAACCAATAGAAAGAGGTGAGATTAACTCCAGGGCTGAATAGCATCATGCCATGCAAACTCACATAACTGCCTAGATATGTAAACAGTCAAGGCCTCCATAGACACACACTCAAGAGAATGAAAGAGTTTGACCTGATAGAGGAGTATAATTGATATCAAAAGGTGATATATAACAAGAATCTGAACACCATATAAGTCTTCAGTTGGTGTTCCAGAGAACTAGCCAAACTTGGATGACTAAATGCTCAGTTACTAACTAGCTACTGGAAACAACAAGTTCCAGTTTATTTATTGTTCAAAGCCTCTCTCAGTGCCATTTTCCACAAACAAATATGAACATCTAAAAACATAACAAGAGTTAGCTAAAAGTCCAACTGCAACCAGACTACAACAGCAGGATTAGAGTCTATAGCTTTTTGTCAATTTAACATCAACCACACACACCACTGCCTGCATTTCCTTGATTCATAGCACTTGTATTCAAAGGAAATCAATAAGGCCTTTGCCTAATGGTTGGTTCATCTCTTCATCTTGAAGAAGTTCTACGAGAGGAAATGCCCAATCTATCAGAAATACCATCTCTGATAGCACAAAGATAACTCACTTGGGTTAGCATACATCAGATATCATCACCAAGAGCTCAAAGCAGCATAACATCGAACAGATAGAAGACTCGTACGAAAGGTATCGTAGAACACGCTCAAAAACACAACACAAATCGCAAGGTAGCCAACTGAAGTCTTCAAGTCTTGAAAGAAGGCGGAAATTACAGTAACATCAAATAAATAATGGAGCAGCGCAGAAATTAAGTCTAAAAAGCACCAAAATATTCTAGTGAAAGTTTAAACTCGGAGACAACGAAGGATAGCAAACAGTAGATCGAAGCATAAGGGTCCATCAAAGCATGAATTTTAGTCCATCCACCAAGCGTTTTCACCAATAATAACAAGAAGAAGAAGCAAGAGTCCTTCCCCGCTAGCCCTGCTCCGCGGACTGGAGGGGGAGGCCGAGGCCGACGCCCCTGGTCGAATCGCGGGGGGGCACCGGAATGGCGATGAAGGTCTTGGCCTTGCTGATGGGGCGGGACTTCTCGAGCTGGACGTAGTCACCGACCTTGAACTGGTTGTCGGGGTCGTGGGCCTGGTACTTCTTCTTCTTGCGCACGCGGCGCTTGTACTTGGGGTGGGGGGCGAGGCGGACCACCTCCACCGACACCGTCTTGTCGCTGGAGGCGCACACCACGAGGCCCTGCGTGACCTTCATGGCCCTGACGGTGAGGACCGAAGGCGGGGACGGCGCCGGCGAAGAGGAGAAAGGTGGGATCTTGGGAAGAGAGGGTATCGGGAGGGAGCCATGGAGGAATTGAGAGCGGTGGTGAGGCTTGAGGATAGAGGAGAGTTGGAGGAAAGAAGAGGTGAGCGACATGGCCAAAGAGATGAGGAGAAAAGGCGAGAACTGATGCTGCTGCTAGTTATCTTCGGTTTGATTTAAGCGAAATCTAGTTTGGGTTTCATTTTATTTCATTTGATGTATTGGATAAGGTATTTTTCTTGTGGTTCAAATTGATCCCCTCTCTTCTTGCTGGTTGTGCTAAACCTTTTCTAGTGTTGGCTGCGCTAAAAACCTTTTCAAGTGCGTAAGGTTTAAGGGATTGAAAGCCGAGTGATTAGAGATACTCATCAAATATATTTTTGAATGTCTCAAAGTTAATAAAGATCTTAATAATATATCATAAAATGAATAGATACTCTGAATAATAATATCCTTGTCGCCTCAGGTGACAGTTTACCACAGATGACCGTGGCAAAGTGCCCTAAGGTAACATACATTCGATGAGAATAAGAACATTCAAAGAAAGAACCTTTTGGATGAATAAATGAACTAGATTTAAAATTCTTTTTTACAAAGAATAAACAACGAAAACGAAATTCAAATCTATCTATACCATCAAAATCTTTACCACTAAACTGACTAGATTTAAAAAACTCCGTTAAGCATTGAAGTAAAGAAACATGAACTGTACATTAAATTACACCAAAAGGGCTCCTCACAATTCACCTTTCTTACAGTAAAACCAGGGTTAAAGTCCACAATCTATATAACCCCCAGTCATTAGCAACTAAATGAAAAAACCAGGACTTACATGGCTTCTACTTATCGGCAACATGAGACTCGAACAAAAATAATAGAACGTAGAACTAGAACAATGGAGCATGGAAGCATCATCCAGATGACTGCATGAAATGGCAAGCAGTAATCAGAGGACATTAGCAATCTGGGCTACTGTATAATCTACAAAACTCTATTCCATCTTCAGCCATCTTTTAATTAAGTCGTGTTTTCTGGCATCACGTAATTGAAGGAAATACTCTCTATGTGAAATGATCTTGGCGCACTACAGCAACAAATTCCCCAGACAACAAATCATCATCCTTCAGCTTTCCCAGCTCACCATTTCCTTGGATGTGCCAAAATATTTTAGGAGAGAGTGGTGTATACAAATCTGCAAGGTTGCATAAGAAACATATGTATGATGACAATGATATAAAAAAAACAATGAACTGTAGGTAATACTGTAGAAAATTCCTTTATAGCAACCAACTGGTAAACAAATAAGCTCATATAACAAGAAGATGATTAAAGCTTAATGTTTCTCTTTATGCAGGGAAAATGATCATGACCAATTATATTGGAGGAGCTACAATTGTGGTCCTTGCATAAGGAATTCCATAGTTCTAATGCTCCAAGATGGCATCGGTAAAGTCACAGCATACGAATTATGAGTATATCAGAGAAAATGAGATAAGTATACATGACTTGAATCATATGAAAGAAGCAAATGAAGAAAAGAAACAGAAGTAGATATGTCAGACAGGCCACTTCCACTATCACAATGCTTAACTTAGTGTATCAATTGTTATGCAGTGATAATCTGGCAAAAGATTTAGAATATCCACTTATGTTTGAAAAACCCTAATTATTGTAATTCAATAAACACCTTGAAAACTGTCATATATCACTGTAGTATGAATATACAAAAACCAAAATGAGACCAAAGCCCCACATACCTTTCATGTGTTTATATATATATAAATAAATATATGTATATATATATATGTATGTATGTATGTATATATATGTATGTATGTATATATATGTATATGTATATGTATATATATATATATATATATGTATATATATATTGAAATTCTGTACAAGTAACAATCCTACAACTGTTCACAGGTAAATAATCATCTCAGTGAGAGAATTGGTGAAAACGGGAATAATGTAAAAGCATCTATAATATAGACAAGGACATGTAATCTTGACTTTCAATAAGAATAAACACTCTATCTTATACTGAAAACCAAGAGGTCTTTAAGGTAAATGAAGAGAAAGAATGTTATACAGGCCAAAGTCACATTTTCATTATCTAGGTGGCTTCAATTTACCTGAAGAGGATGTTTGATCTGATTCTCTTGTAGAATGTAACACTGTGGTCCCGGAAATTACTGTAATGAGCCCACAAATCTCTGATGCAATATTACTTGCACTCTGGCCAGACCAATCCTGCAAATGCGCAAAAAAGTTAGCTGTAGATGAGCCTCATTGAGAAAAAAAAAAAAAGAAGTGATAATACTTTGTCAATGACATGTTCGGTACCTTGAACATAATGGCACTTGCTAATATTGTAAGAATTGTGAACATGGCATAGTAGACAGGAGAAACAACTGCAGTATTGAAAGTATCTAATGCCTGAAGAGAACAGAAAGATTAATTAAAATAAGAATTTTCAAGGTCTTGAATTAATTTTAGAAGAGAAACTGTGTCAGATGACAATATAATTAAATTCTTTTGGTTAGCTCTTCAGTTCACATGAATACTAGTAAACTGTCACAAGCTAATTCACAGATAGAAAAATAAATATAACTTTAATAGCAAACTGACAAACATCCTGATCATGAAACATGATATAAAACAATATCCAATTTGAAATAAACAGATAATGCTACTGGCACTTACATTAATCATAAAATCAAACACAGAAAGGAAACTCTTTTCATGTTTTATATCACAAAATCAAATACAGAAAGCAAACCTTTTTTCTTATTTTAGATCATGCTTTTCTAATTCTTAAAAGTATGACTCTCTGGTACAAGCATCACCCAAATGCCACCTTACCGGGGAAAAAGAGTCATTAACCAAAATTTTCCCTGGATAGCAACATCTGGGCCCTTTGCAACTCTTTCTAGAAGCCAAAGTGTAAGTCCCTTCCATGTTGCACATCCTCCCTAAGCAAATGAGTAGCAGATGGGACCCTCTACTAAGGCTCGGCCCAGACTTGGAAAGCATCAGGCACTTCCATAAACTATAGGAGAAGGTACGTGTTGACAAAGATTTTTAGTAGATTTTCATGTACTTTCAGCAGAGTAATAATTTATATTATTCTAGGATCTAAAAGTAGATTTGAGATAGGAACTTTTGGACACACTAAAGAGCCCTATGACAAAGATTTAAGCTATGCCTGAACATTATTTCATTATCCCCTTCTTTTCCCACTAATTAAGTTAGATTAATTTAGTTTATTTGATCTTAGGAGCTTTTTTCTCTATCTGGAATAAGGCAAGCGCTGATTAGAGGCGTTATATAACAGTTAGCCTAATGTAGTAAGGAATAAGAATTGTGAGCCTCTTTTGGACACCACTTGGCTATTCTCTTCAGAATTTAGTGATTAGTTATTTTTTCTTTCAATTCTATATAGTAGACCTCTTCTCTTAAATTCAAGAAGCACCAGTTAAATGCCTATATTGTGCTAAGACCAAACTGATATATTAAATGCCTATATTCTTGATAAAATTGCTTCCAAGTGCACATCTCACAAACCTTAACCTGATTATAACCAAGGTTTGTAATATCACCGTCAGTTTCATAATCAATCATGAGATTTGGAATAGAAATTAAGCTGGATTGACCAAATTGAACCAGATCATCAGATCATCTTATCCAACTTTTTTTTTCAAAAAATAATCGGAGATTGATCAGAACCAGCCAGGGCCATCTGCTAGAGATTGGCTCCTACTCAGCATCCACTTCCAACCAAGATCAGCTCCCAACCACAATCCAATGAGATCGACTTCAACAAAATATGATATGTCAGAACCAGTTAGAAGCAGCCAGAACTAGCTGGAGGCAAGAGGAACTGGCTGGAAACTCATCAGAACTGTGAAGTAAGCTGAAATTAAGTAGACATGAACAAACTTGGATAAATCCACGTGGCTGCATCTGAGTCCGACTGATTCCCTAACGTTACAAACGTTTCATTGCTGGCTTTTAATGATCATAACCTGGATCTAACATTCTAAGTCAGCTGACAATTGCTAGAAGAGCCAAAGAAAACATCAATAACCACAACATTCTTAGGCCAAATCTGCAGAAAATGATTCTGAAGCACAATTTCAGACTTATAAATATAATTGAACACTGATCTTCATGTTTCTGGAGACAAGCCCCACTTTTTTATTTATGTGTATCATAGATCAGATAAGTTTTATTCGGGAAATGCAGCAATTTCATGGGATTTCCACGGAGAAATGCTGGCAAACACAAAAAAAGCTAAATTTATATAAAAAAATACTTCTACAATTGTGCCTAAAAGATGACATTTTCTATGTTAGCTACACTGCTTTATTACAAATACAATAGAAAACTACCCTAATGAAATAAAATATCTCAAGTGGCCATATGCATGAAAGACTCATGTAATAGATCAAAGATGCAATTATAGATCAAGCATAGTGTATTGAGAAGTTCAACAAAAAAAGTTTACACACAGTAGAAGACAACTAGAAATTTCCAACAGGAGGAAAAGATAGAAATGTACCTTGATCACACACTAGTATGATCTACTTCATTGGAAAACACCAAACAAGTTAAAAAACATAGCAACTGAGATCCAATATATTTTATAACATAAACTAAACAAAACTCATACTATACAAGTGCATATACATAAACTAAACTAAACTAAACTAAAGCTATATACATACATATAGAGTAAAAGAGATATACTAAAAGAAAGAAGGATTCAGGAAGTTGTGAATATTGCAGGAAAGCAAAGCTGTAACATCTCAACGGGATATGCATAAACTAGCAGCACCATAAGACACCTGTGAAACTGCACGCAAGTGCAAGTTTTGCATCAGGCACCAACCTTGTTTAAGTAATTCAACTGAATTATGATGCAGGAGATTGCCACCATTGCAAATACCCATGTTTGGAAGTAACCAGCTTGGTTGACGCCTTCCAATGTAAGCTTGATTGCAATTCCTATGGCCTTGATACTCATGACCTGCACAACTTATAAAATATTAAGATGACGAATGCAGAGAATCAAGGGAAGCCAAACACACTATTATTATAGCACCATTACCGTCAAAGATCCAATTGCAGAGCATATGCCCAAGTACACCATTATGTTTGTCTGCCCATAACGTGGAGAACAATGCAACATAAGCACCAGAGATACTGCAACTGCCGATGCCGTATACAAAAGAAAGGCTAAAGAAAGAATAATACGCAAAAAGCCAACATCAGCACCAAGATGATCAACTAAGTAGATTGATTGAACAAAAAGTAATGCATGAGAATGAATAGGCCTCAAGCAATCGATTAGATCAAGAATTAGGCATCGTAGAATACCTGGCTGCGTCGCTAAATCCCAGATCTGCTCAACAGAGCTCGGCGTCCTCTCCTCTGGGGCATGGAGCACGATGACTGTTGAACCCACAATGCAAAGCACACAGCCCAAAACACCCATTCTCTGCAATTTCTCCTTTAGGATGAAATGGGCCAAAACGGCACTGCGGCCACCATTTTTCCGCGTAAAAACCAATAAAAAATAATTTTTAGCCATTAATCGAAATCTGCATTCCCCAAAACTCTTTTAGATTTCGCGCTTCTTACCTAACGATGATGCTCAAAGCACCCAGAGGCGTCACCATAACAGCTGGGGCAAAGATGTAGGCCACAAAATTTGCAATCTCACCGATAATCACTGCAAAACTTTCAACTTCCCTCAAGGATTCTAACCATAAAAGCAAGAGGCGACGGAATCGAACGAGAAGGGGCTTACTTGTGACCATTCCGATCCACCAGAGAGGCTCCAGTAAGTATCCGTACCCGCCTATGCCTTAAAGAACCAAACCATGGAAGCTCTATTATTTCAGCACGTTCGGGATTAGGGCTAAAGATAAGGAGGGGGGGGGAAGGAGTTACGTACCGGCGCGGGAGCCGGAGGCGCCGGCGCGCTTGAGGCCCTTCTTCTTGATGATGAAGCTAGCGCCGATGAAGGCGCTGGAGGCGACGGCGAGCAGGAAGCCCTTGAGGTTGTCAGCGAAGAAGTGCGCAGACCCCGCCGCGGGCGGCGGCCCAGAGTTGATCGGAACTTTGTCCATAGGTCGGACGGCGTCCTCCGGCCGCTCATCTACCAGTCCGCGGGCCTCATTCGAAGGCCTCGGCGCAACGCGAGAGAGGGAGAGAGAAGATGAGGAGACGAAGAAAAGGGGCAAAAACAAAAATATAAGAAAATAAGCTTTGACTACAAATCGGTCGGGAAGAGAGAGAGAGGGAGAGAGCGAGACGTGCGGAGGGAGAGAGAGAGAGAGGGGCGGGCGTTAAAATATATCATATTCTCAGAAATAGCATGAGAGCAGTAAAAATAACAAAAAAAGAATTATAATTTAATGTGGGTTGGCGGGGAATTGACGCTCAGATGGCCAATTCACACGAGCCACGGCCATCCAGGGTGTCATCAACTACGAAATTAAAATTATGGATCGAGGTATAATAATCCCCAGATTCGGATCCGACACCAAATCTATAAACCTTATCGGAGCATGGATCCGGGATTTCTGTACCCGACCCGAAAACATTTTCCGGTACCAGAGCCAAATGTGGGAAACAATACCCAAAAGTACGGGTGGTGTTTTGACCAGGTTTCGGGTCGTTGGCTCCATTGGCAACAACAATGTACAATGTGGAGATCTATAAACCGTCCACTTGTCCTCGACGAGTATTTCGTTTCTACTCTTTCTCGGCGGTTCCTACCGTGGCATTGGTCATCCTTGCCAGATCTAAATCGCTCGCCAATGTAAATATATGTACCTCCGAATCCGAGAGTTCAAATGAGAAGGTGAGAGTGGTGTGGGGAGTTGTATTATGCATGGATCATCTGCCGGTCCAGTCCTGTCCATAAAGGGGGGACAGGGACAGCACGTCCCACGCGCTCTGGGATGCATTCGTAGGTGTAGAAGAATTGAGGTGTGAAGCAGATCTGTGACATGAAAGCTGAGTCAAAGCAGCAACAGCAGGTATATATGTGGGAACGGGATTACAAGCCTCACAGGTGTCGTCTCTGCAACCGAAACGCTACTACCGCCTATTGGACGGTGCTTATGATGAGGTGTCAGCGGAGTTCTGTGTTGCTAGCATTATACAATCTACAGGGCATGAATCATATAGTTAAGGAAAGAGAGTACATAATAATAAAAATAAAATTCATTCCCTAGTTTTACCTGTTGGCTGCTGTAATCAAGAATTGAAATATTGAGTACGTTACCTACTATGCTGTTCTCTTCAATTGTAGACGTCAAAATCATACTTCGCATGATCAATGATATCTGGATATCTCTTTTCTGATCCATGCAGTGCAAACACTTCAAAAGAAAAGAAAAAAAAAAATCCGATAGCCTATACTAAGCTAAACCTTTCGTCCATGTACAGAATTTCGATTGCGTATTTTGTGATTTCGTAAACAGGGATGACCTGATATCAATGACAAGTTATCTCTTCCTTCCTGATTGCATCACGAATATGATTTCACAATAACTACAGATGGGCATAGCTAGTCACCTGGCTATATTAAACTTGGTATATTGACAACATTTCCACCACCTGGGGCGCTCCACGTATCTAGAGCAGATAATTGTATTAGTTCTATTAAAAATTTATGATATAGTAGGTGAAAAAATAAGGTTTAAAAAGAAAATTATGTACCTGCTTATATCAATTCAGTAGTTGGCAAACTTCATTATATGTCATATATTAGGTAAAAATATCGTTGACATCATGACAGTCCGATGTGGTCCGAACCCGTATACGTAAAACTGTCCAAGATACATCCGAGGTAAAAATGTCAACTTAAACATTTTGGTTAATGATTTAGGCCAAATGAAGTTGATAGGTCAATTGACCCATTATGTCTAGATCATGACATTTGGTATCAGAATCGACCTAGTGTTTAGACATGATAAACGACTACTCATGGATGGAGTCAGAGGACTTATCACAGGACTATCATTAAACTACGTCTTACATATACTATGCTACGATTGATATGGGACATGCTATGTTGACGATTCGATTAATCCTACATAAAAATGATTAAGACTTAACATTACTATCAACTTTTGGCACATATTGACCAGTAATACAAAAACTTTAATAATGAACATCATTATTCTCTTAAGGAAAGAAACAAATTCATAATCCTAGCAAACCTGAAATTAAGTAATTCAGAAATAATTTTATCATTGTAAGGTAAAAATATGTAAGACCATAATTTCTTCATGATATAACCCAAGAATTTCATAAAAAAAGACATGAAGTGGTCCACAGTAAATAACATCTTACTTGAATAAAGCAGAGCACCAAGGCTTACAAAAATGTTGCAAATGTGGTGCTACCAGCTCTGGGCATATCCAGCCGAGCCTCCCAAGAGTTATGACACCCGTTGTTTACTAGTATACCTAGCATATCCTATCATCACAAAACAAAACAAACAAAGGAAGAGAAAGGATTGAGAGACTGAAATTACAGATTTCGAAAAAGAATAAAAGATAAAATCATTCACCTCTGAATTTTGCAGAATTGCAACCAAGAATGATATTATTGTGGATGCTACAGAAACATAAATCCAAAATACATCTATAACCAGTCAGTAACTCTTTAAGTACCACAGAGAACTCTGCGTACAAGAAAAAGATGTCACACTGATAATTTGTTGTGTGTTCAATATGACAGAAACCAGAAATATTCAAACCAGCTCATCCATCAAGAATTTACTGGACAACACTTACCCAACAATTTTTCATTATCTGAACATATACATTTTAAAGTCTTCAGTTACATGAGAAAGATCTACTCTCATTCAACAAAGACACTATTACAAAAACCAACCTTCAAAGAAAATGTATATGGTTTTAATAAGATTAATGATAACACATTGAGATGAATCAACCTTCACATTTTTCAGATAATCTTATTATGTCCTAAGATACTAGTAAAGGTTTTGATATTATGTACCTACTTAGCCTTTGTGCCTTGACATAAGAAGAAAGTCAAGCTTAGAGGCTTATAGAGAGCGAGGCTCCTGGCCAATGTAAGATCTGGGTTTGATTAATGTAACAGTTATACTCCTACGAGCTGAGACTTCTTTGTGACTTGAACACTAATCACCAACGAAGTAATCTGTTCATGTCAGCCTACACCAGAAGCCCAAATCTGGGATCAACTAAAAACATCACATCTCAAAATTCTCTAATAATATGAGTCATTAAATTTCTTTCCTTTTTTTTGCAAAGGGCAAGTGATAAAGGCAAGATTCGACTTAGAACCTTACGATAAATTATTTAAGTTTTTATCAACTAAATTAGCCGACACCTTCATTATCTTTTTGTTAGTAAAATAAAATATGTTAAATGAGATTTCGAACCTCAACCTTTGATAAACGAGCCTAGTCCACCATTAGACCAAAGTTTAAGATGTAAAAATATTTCCAATGAAGTTTTGAATCCTCAATCTTTGGTAAATAAGTCTGGTATATCATCACCAGGCCAATGTTCAAAATCTCATCCGATAGATATATATATATATATATATATATATATATATACTATTAAACTAGCCCTGTCATGTTTGGTATATACCTGTACAACCCACGTTTATTTCACCGTATTGACAACAGATCCAAGAAAGTAAACGGACAATCAGAACAAAGTAGGTGCTGAAGTCCAGAAATCTAAATAGCAGCTTCTGATATCCCATCAAAGCATCGTATCTCCTATTTTTCTAAATCAGATCACGAAAACATTTTCACCTGCGCATTAAAAAACGTTTCTCCTTCTAAGTTTCCTTTGCCTCTGTAGAATAATAAAAACCATGCATGACTAAAATTATCAGCATCTAAGATACTTAACATTGTGCAGTTCCACTATCACATCATCCCGAAGTCAAATTTCAAGTAAATTGCAACAGGATTTCTGGTACCATTTTTGTTGTTTCAATCAGGAAACGGCCCAAACTACGACATGGCACGGAAAAAAAGAAAGACAGATTGAAACAAAGAGCGAAAGAGAAAAGAACCAGAGAAAGAAAGAACGAACGAACTAAAGAAAGGTCTAATGATATTTTCTGGTTAAGGAAGCATGGAAGGCACTAAACCCTTGGATGATCAATCGAGGGCAACATCTCGCAAACAGAAGCAAGAAGTAGAAAAGCAGGAGGAAGACGAGACAACCTCGGCGCTCACGAGAATGATGACGAGGTAATTGTTGAATTCGGGGAACCGGTTATAGAACTCGATTTGCTGCGACATCTGAGACCGATCGGAGAAGGGCGAGATCATCTGCTGCCCGAGGAAGCCGATGATTTCACGGAGCCCTTCCTCCTGGGGCTGCCATAGTCCCACCGCCGCCTTCGATCGACAAGGACGATAAGAGAGGAAGCGATCCCCTTATCGAGCTTTCTTCCGAGGAAGAAATCGAGATGGGGATTCAAATGGAAGCGAGAACATGCAGCGCCTTCGTCGGCGGGAATTATTGGGAAGCTGCGAAGCAAGATGCTTATATATAATGGCAAGTGAGGGGAGTTCGGTATTCACTTTTGGTGCTTTTACATTTATATCCTTGTACAATTTGAAATAACACATTTGCTTTTCCAAATATCAATGCAACAAATATTTCCCTCCCTCCGCATGTCTTTCTTGATATTCTTATTTTTGAACGAAATTAAATATAAATCCATGGATTTGTTCTAAATTTGAATTTAGAGCGATAGACGACATTAAAATTGCAGGCTTGGAAATTATTATCATTAAATGAGTTTAATGCATGACCCTCAATCCGTAAAAAGTGGATTTGATATATTATCATTAAAATTCTATATATATATATATTTTTTGGTGTAGAAATTATTGAGTTTTTTTATTTTATGAGGATGCATTTTATACTGGAAATAATGTTTTTGCCAATCTAATATGACTGACTATATATGTGAGACATATACAAAGATGAATCGATGGTATTCTTTTCCGAATTAGCTTTTCTTTTCTTATAATTATCGTTGCATCGACATCAGCTCCTTAAGATTCGTGCATCCATCCGATCCATGGCGTCCATTTTGGAGGGATGCACTGCATTGATCCTGATCCGTCCATCCGTGATGGGCCCCACAACCGCTTCGAATCTGAGCCGTCCGGAGCTGCTAAATGGAGTCGTCTCTCCTTATAAACAATCGACGACCGGAGACGACCGATGCCGAGGTCTTCGTTAATTATTAGATGGAGCAGGTAGTTGGCTGCCGCCCGCTTCCCGAGGGG